CCCCCCCCTCACCCGTAGTTGTTCCCGCCCTCTATTTCCGTTCGGAGGCCGACCGAGCCCCCTTCTGATGTGATCATACCGATGCTCGATCCCTTCCGCAACAGTCCTGACACCACCAGAGCCTGGAGCACACGAAGAGGTCCAAGCACGCAAACCTGTCGGGTTTCAAACGAAAGTCATGTCGAAAAACACAGGAACGGGGGGGGGGGAGACACACAGAGAGACGCAGGTAGAGCCAGAGAGAGACAGGCAGGGGGGAGGGGTTGAAAACAAGAAAGAGAGAGCAAATTCAGAGAGGCAGAGAGAGAGAGACGCACGGAGACAGGGACGCAACCAACGCACGAGTTCACGTTAGCGTGTGTGACGCGCCTACTGTAACACCACCACGTCGGAAAAAACTGTTGACCATTTTGTGGTTTCTCAAAAACAGGACCATTGGCGTAGTCCGGGAGACATGCAGAGAAAAAGTGAGCGCGCCTAATTGTGTGAGTTAATGTTTGCGGCAAGCCATCGCTGGGTGCCGCAAACGTTGTACCCTATCGCAACCCCTCTTGCACGTGCACTCATGAGGCGCGGGGGCGGGCCAGGGGGTTTCATCACTTTTGCCCACGGGGGTATTTCGAAGCCCCCAGACACTAGTAGCTAAAACTCTGGAAATTTCTCAGGAATTGTCGTGCCCACATCCCATTGGGAAACGATCGGGACATAGGGTTTGAGGTGATGAGTGCAAGGCAGTCAATTACAAAAGTTAGTTGGACAGGTGACCCATGCGTACCTCATACATCTTGACGGCCGCGTCGAATTTGGGATCTTCGAACGTATCAGGGATCAAAATTCTGTACAACGGTGTGAAAGGAGGGACGCGGAGGGGGGCGGGGGGTCGTGAGGGGCAGATCCGACAGCGGTGTGGCCGACCGAATGTGAGCCAACCAAGTAAACCAACGTATTGGCGTCAGCAACCCCCCAAATCTCGCAGCCACTGCATGTTCCCAATCAGGAACTTGCTCCATCTTTGTTGTACTGGGGCGAGTAAATATCCTTGGTGCCGACAACGCATCCCAAGCTCCTTGTATTCCTACTACCATGCGGTCCAAATCAGAGCTGACAGTGAACACGCATTTCGGACATCGCTCACAGGAGCTATGCATATCATTGCGAGAGGGCGGCGCAGCAAGTCCTTTTCGCCCACAACTAAAGCCCAATACTTCCACCCGCTACAAAACCGCAAGGGTGCAAACGGAAACACACACACACACACATGGGGTCCCAGATCATGGCTTCTACAAGTGTTTCCTGTTGAAATCGTACTGAGACTGGTGTGTTTTCATTTGTCAGCCGGTTGGCGCGGTTGATGTTAATAGTAAAATAACACACAAGGCACGCACGACGCACCCAACGTTGCATATGACGTAGTCGAGAGTGCCGCCCTCGCCCAGCTCCTTCTGCACCGCCTCCACAAGCTTGGTCCCGGAGTCCTTGTCGGAGACGTCGATCCCCTCGAGCACGCTAACTCCGACAGCCTGTTTGACGGCACCAATCAGTTGACACACGCCACCACAGCAAGAAAAATAACCCCAATCATTTGTCTCAAAAAACGACTAGACTTGGTAAGTGTGTTAGGAGGAGCAAGAGGGGAAAGAACGGAGGACGAGGAGGGGTTGCAGTCGTCTAGACAGCGGGTTGGATCTGAGGAGGGCCCCGACCGGGCAGGTGCACACGGTTTCCGCTGAAGTCTGATATACACCACCACAAGGGCCACGTGGAAGGTCGTGCGGGACGTGTGCGCTGCTGCTAATCTTCGAGTTACTCCTCTAGATGGATGGCGGCTTGATTGTGGGTTCTTGCGGCGAACGTGCGGATCGCTCGCGTCTGTTCGAGCGGTGTATCACGCACGGGATGGTTCCTCAGCAAAACGGATAGATGTAGATCTGCATTGGTGCAAGGGCTAAAAAACATCCATTGCACACTTCCGCCCTGTGCAGGCGGCCAAACAAGAGAACGGGGTGAGTCGTCCTCTATGCATCTCGCACAACGAGGTTAATTACCTCAAGATCGGCGTTGGTCGTCCTAGTGGTGGCCAGGATCGTACTCTCTCGCTTCTTCAGGTGTCGCACGACCTCCAACCCCAACCCGCGGTTTCCGCCGATGACCAAGCAGTTTCCCGGGAGCGGCGATACTGGGGGAGTCTCGTCGGTCGATGAGGACGCCATAGCTCTGCTGTGATTCGCACGGGGAAGCGGAAAGAGTAGGTGTGCGTGCAGCAGCAGATCGCGTTGGATATCTCGGGGATGCACTGTTTATTATGCGTAAAATGGTGAACCAAGTCAACCAAGGCAATGCCTGCCTCCAAGCCCGAAGTTCGGACGACGATCATGCGCGCCCGCCCATTGACGACCTGTCTGATGCAATGACGAAAGACAAGAGGAGCAACTTCGCACGATAAATGTTGGTATACAACACGCGCAGTGAGTCAGACTCTGCAATACCATGATTTCAAAGCGGCCCAGGAAGCCTGAACGGACAGGTTCTACACAGGCAACAAGCAGCACGAACATGGAGCGCATTTGACTGCATCCAGCGGGTCTCCCGGTATACAGCAGTATACCCTGGACGGACATGCAATCGGCAGTCTAGAAGATGAGTACGTGCTGGCTCTTTCTTTTTGGACCGGCCCCTCACGACATACATGCTGGTGTTCACACGCGCCTCTGCTGTGTCCCCACCTGACACCCACCGCCGCCGTCGAACCGATGCGACCGGTCAAGCCAAGAGCCATGGGTGCGTTGCTGGGGAGTTGCCCTCGAGGGTGTTGAGTAAACGCGCCAGGGGCAGCAGCAGGGCTACCCATAAGGACAAACGATGTTGAATGCTGAGAGAAGGCCGAGAAGACTACTACAGCACTCCATAGGGCCGTTCGAGTCATGATATACTCCCCAGATCTTGAAACGACTGCAGCCTACGTGCCTCGATAGTCGACTCACCCGGGTGGAGTGGAGAGGATGGTCGGGGAGATGAGGGACGAAGAGGGAGAAGTGACGAACACACTCACTGGCAAACTGCTGTGTGCGCGATGCGGCAGCGGTGGAATTGTTGAAAAACAAGCTCTTAGTGTTTTTTTTTTTTTATGTTTTTGGCTTCACTTCAAATCAGCAAATCAGCGCTCACAGCGCTGTAGTTCGATCTGTAGTTCCATTTACATACTACCGTAAATGACACAAGATAAAACACCCCCTGGGCCGATTTTCAAATCTCGATTTCTCAACAACAGAAAGAGTCACGCCGCCAAAAATGGCGGCGTTGGAACTGTCTTGTCGAGAGTTTTCCAAAAATGTATCGTTTCGTTTATGCATCCTCTTCATCGTGGAGAAATCGAGCTTTGAAAATTGATCCAGGGGGTGTGTTATCTTGCTCCAATCCGTGGTCACACAGAAGGACTCCTCTCGACGCCCCCTCCTGCGGTACTTTGCCATTGATTTTTAAGGCGAGAAGAGTTCAGCACTCTCTTCCCTCTGTGTACACACGAATTAGCGCTATCCTGGCCTAGAGCGAAAAACTCACTTTGTAAGAAAAGCTCGCTTACGCTGGGATTCGAACCCCTGCAGCACCGTATGCGTGCCCAAAAAAAACTGAACTGCACGTCCGTCCCACCGTTTGACTACAGTAGCATCACCCCCCACTCCCTGTCCCACTCTATACCAAAACGAAGATTGGCGACTACAGCATACTGCTGTCTGAAGTGCTGTCTGTACAAAAACACCATGATGGTAGGCATGGAACAAGCAGCTGGCGGGGCACAAAGCTGCTGTCTGAAGTGCTGTCAGAATGTGTCTGCGGCCGTACAGTGAAAAAGAACAACCAACCAAAGCCATCATAGCAGCAATTGACAATCACCCGAATCTCTCCCGATCGTCTGTGTTAGGCACTGCAGTGAAAAATATCGACACTAGCTAAGAATCGTTCCACATTGAAGGGGTCTTCCACGATCAGGCACA